ATATAATATATGTATATATGTATAATATATATGTGTATCTATGCATATATAGTATATGCACACACATTGTGCATACAATGTTGTATATATGTATATTATATATAATATATGCAATACATGTGCAATATACAACATATATAATATATACAATTTATAATATATACACATAATATATTGTGCATATTATATATACAATATGTCATATTGCATATGTTTTGTAATATATTCCATGTCATACGTTATATAATTGTATATTATATAACACAATAGTATATATTGTATATATACTGCATATATACTATATATATATATATATGCTATATATACTGTATATAGTATTACTCTCATGGTTCCTTAAAGATAGAATCCATAGCCTATCTCTATAGATTTTTCTATTGGATATGTCATATCAATGGCATCATACAGTGTTTAGTCTTTTATGTCTGACCTTTCATTCAGTATAACATTTTCAAGGTTCATCAATGGCCTCACAATGTATCAATGTTTCACTCCTTTTCATAGCTGAATAATATTCCACTAAATAGGTATACCATATTTTGTTTATCCATTCATCACTGGTAAACACTTAGGTAGCTTCTATCTTTTCGTTAGTGTGAATAATGCTTTTGTAAACATGTGTGTATACGTTTTTGTGGTATCATATTTATTTATTCATTCCCATTTTTGTGCCTCTGTCCCTGAGCTATTTGGGCACATCCCTGCGCTATTTTGTTCAAGATTAGTGCTCTACCAATTTGAGCCACCGCTCCACTTCTGACGTATGGGTGGTTAACGGGCAATAAGTCTCACAGACTTTCCTACTCTGGCTGGCTTCAATGGTGATCCTCAGAGCTTAGCCTCCTGAATAGTATAACAGGACTAAGCCACCAGCTTCCAGCCTCATATATTTAGGTTTGTGCATATATTAGGTATGGATGTATATGAAGAGTAGACCTATTAGAGCTATATTTAGTCATCTGAGGAGCTGCCAGACTGTTTTGTGAGACTCTTTTTTTTTTATTTTTGCCAGTCGTGGGGCCCGAACTCTGGGCCTGGGTGCTGTCCCTCAGCTCTTCAGCTCAAGGCTAGTGCTCTACCACTTGAGCCACAGCACCACTTCCAGCTTTTTTCTGATTATGTGGT